TTGCTGCCATTGTCATCGGTCCCTTTTTTGTCAACCACCCAGGTAGGGGTATTCAATAGACGTCGTCTTAGAAAAACCTATCAAAAATATAAAATATATATAAAAAATCCTTTAAATTTAAAAACGCTAAATTTCGGGTCTCTCTGCCGTCAAAGCCAAGAGAGTGCAGTGCTGTCGCGTTTTTGATTGCTGCGAATTTCATTGTGTAGTGTCTATGGACAAGTCCACGTTTGTGGCAAATTAATTTCTCTGGTGAATTGTTTCAAAAAGTCACAGACAGTGCACCCACGATCCATTAGTTGGCTCGTCGCGAAAACAAGTGGAACAGTTAGTCAGAAAAAGTGGAACAATAAGAAGACGAAGACGAAATCACGCTCGAAATAAAATAAAATAAATACAAAAAGAAAAAAAAATTAATACACCCCTCGGTGGGTTTGAGCCAAGTACCTCCCAGCTGAGGGGCTTGCGCCTGCCCGCAGTTGGGATTAAGCTTCCATTTATTCATCAAGACGGTAAGCAGTGCACGGAAGTGCTTAAACGATGTCTCGCCTTTCAGAATCTGATGATGAGCTAAATATAACAAATACTATAGCGCGCAATCAGCAAAAAATGGAAGAAGCTTTAAATAACTTTAACCGAATATATGCTGCTACCTCTTCAAGCGCCAAGCCATTACCATCTTTCAACGAACAGGAACCGGAATTATCAGCCATTAACGGCGACGACGAGGACTGGTGGGCCCCAAGATCGACTAACAACAAACGTCGCCTCGAATCAAGATCACCGAAATCAGTTAGCAAAGTTCAAAGAAACTCAAATAGCCCTAAAACCATTCTTCCAGCTAACCGTTTTTCTGAATTATCAGACATTGACACTGACATTGGGGTGGCAGATTCTCATCGACCGACCAGACTTATTGAAACTTCTAGTACTTCTGCCGGATTAAGGCAGACTGCCAGAAGCAGCAGCTAATTAAACAATATTGGAAAAGCTTCTTCACCAACTAACAACAAAAACAGCAAGAATCCATCTGGATGCCAGAAACAACCAGCCTCCCACAAGCCACCCCCTATTGTAGTTAATAATTGTGAAAACCTAAACGGTCTCATTAGATCAATAGACAAGATTGTTGACCCATGCAAGTATTCACTAAAATGCCATACCAATAACTCTGTATCCACCCTAGCAGTAGACTCTGATGCGTACAGAGCTATTTCTAAATCTTTAACAGCCAAAAAAGTGCCGTTCCATTCGTGGCAGCTAATAGAAGAGAGATCCTACCGTGTAGTTATCCGTGGTATCCATCATTCTATACCCGATGACAACATTAAGGAAAGCCTTACTTCTGCTGGACACACGGTTCGGTTTGTCAACAGACCTAGGAGCCGATTTGACAAAACACAGTTTGTCAACTTGGTTTTTGTCGAGCTTGAACCGGCGGCTAACAACAAAGAAATTCATGAGGTCAAGACTCTTTGTCGGCAACGGGTTCAAGTTGAGTTCCCTTATAAGAAGGATGATGTCGTGCAATGCCACCGGTGTCAAGCATTTGGACACACCAAGAATCACTGCCAAAAACTCTACAACTGCGTCAGATGTGGCTTACAGCACGGCCTGGAGGCCTGCTTAAAGGATGTTCATCCCGTCAAATGTGTGAACTCTGGCGGCAACCATAAAGCTAGCTATAAAGGTTGTATTGTTTATCAACAGATTGCAAGTCGGCGGAAAATTGGTACATCAAAGCGTAACGCCATTCTCCAACAGCAACCTACCTCCATTTCTCGGACAAATCCTGTAGTTCCTAGCTCCTACGCTAAAGCTGTCCGTGGACAAATTAGTTATCCCCCACCCACTCAGAGCCAACAACAGTTTCCTCCGCTGGGCAGCTATGGCAGGAAACAAAGTCAGATGCATCATCAAAATGCACCACCTCGACAGGAGCGGCCGGTGCCCCAACTACAGCAGTAACAAGTACACCCACAGCAATCTCTACCCCAACAACAGCGGCGCACCACGCAGCAATCAGCCAATGATATTCAATGGCAACGTCAAGAGCAAAGGCTTTCCCCAGTTTGTTCCCTGTCTGAACTTAGCCGTTGAGGGGTCTACCTCCATGGGCTGAACCGTATTGTGGTCTAAGAACTCGGGATCTCTGCGCTTCGGCCAGTGATTGTCCTCATGAGGCTTACTTTGGTTCTGCTTAGGAACAAAGTGCGGATTCTTATCCTCACCTCTCCACTGCTTTCCCTGACCCATATTATTGAGCCTATTGCCCTCATTGAAATGGGACTTGTCTTCTATAGCTTTCGCGTAGGATGCCGCGAAAGCACTTCTTTCAATGCTGTTCTCGGCTTCCCGCGCTAATGCCAGTGCAGATGGAAGGTCTTTGGGTTGTGCTGGTAGCACGAGTGTCTTGAGTGGCCTCTTAAGCCCTGCAATGAATGCATGAAGGTCATCATCCCTAACCTCCTTATTCAGGATTGCTGCTGTGTCCATGTTATGTGACATGACTATTTTGTTAGTGACGAGCGTGAGTTTCCTCTCGTCTTCGTCATAGTATGCCATAAGGTCGGAATCTCCTTGTCGAACCATTTCTAAATTTTGCCGTAGCACTCTTAGGGACTTTTTGTCCGCATATGTGCAATCTAGTCTGGCTAGAATTGCATCGAAATTTAGCACTGTGTTGTGGGACGTGAGTAGTGCCCGAGCGGGACCGCAAATTTTGTTTTTAATGATGACAACGGCCTCGTAGTGTGCCTCGCTGCCGTCGTATCTTTTGAACACTTCATAAGCATCTGATGCAGCCTGCCTCCACGAAACGTACTCGTCGTGGCTTCCATTGAACGTTGGCAGGGATTTTACTATGTCCAACTTGACATCGCATCTTACTGCAGGGTCCAGTACTACTCCTTGGTAGACCTCCACCTGCGGCGCTTGCACTGACAGCGCACTAACCTGTGCTCTAACCGCTCTTAACTCTGTGGCAAAATCGTTTCTTAAGCGTGCTTCCTGCTCGACAAGATCGGACCGCATTTGCGACAAGCGCTTGGAAAATTTCTGCGTTCATTTCTGGTTGATCTATGTATGTCCCTAGCTTCGGGGCGAAATCCTACCTCTTCGCTATCGTCGCTATCGTCACTACGAATTTCTTGCTTTACTTCCCTATACTCCCAACTCATTGGCAGTTAAAGGGCGCTGGGTAGATACGAGGTATTTGACGATTGGGGCTCAAGACAAAAGGTTTCGGCGGGCCACTTGGTGATATAAAAGGCGAAGAGAAAAAAAAAACAAATGGAACGTCACCTGAAACACAAAAATGTTGGATTAATTTGTCTCAAAAACAAAATTAAAATACAGAACGGTGACAGCAAGCATAGGTCAATTCGACTGGGTGTATTATTAGCACAGATACACTGGATAACCTTAGTTAAAAATTAAATACAAGCACAGTGGAAAAAATTGTAGCAAAATACAAGGAGAAAAACGACTAGCAACCTCTGCATGCGTACAGAGACCAACCTTAACAAAGAAATAAAATATTCCTTTGCATAATTAATTCATGCAAATGTTGACTGCCTTGGCACCAATGTGCGTTATATGAGATATATGTTTTTTTTACTGTTATTTTTTATTTATGGCCACGCACTAAGAAAAATCTGAATCAGAAATCGAAAATCGAGTCACTATTTATTTACTGTAAAAAATTCCTAATGCTGGGCGTAGGGAATTGTATGCACTGGTATTTGTGTTTGCGTAGACCTTGGCTATTGTCGGCGCTCAGCTACTTACATATTGTACAACTTCAGGGGTGAAATTCGAATATTAGTAATAATATTACTCCGTTGGGCGACAGTTATTTAATATTCGTGCCGGCTGGCGGTGCCTTCGTGACAGGGGTAGAGCCGGTTGGTTGGGTGTTGGTGACCACCAAGGATGGCAGCCACTGAAGAGTCGGGTAGACGCTTCGACTTCCTTCCTTGGTCCGAATTATGTAACTATTAGTGCCGGCTGGCGGTGCCTCGTGGCAGGGGTAGAGCCGGTTGGTTGGGTATTGGTGGCCATCCAGGATGGCAGCCACCGAGGAGTCGGGTAGTCGCTTCGACTTCCTTCCTTCGTCCGAAGTTTACGGTGGGAGATACTTATCCCCGTTGTTATGGCCCTTAAGGCACGATAACCAAATTCAATAAACAGAATAAATGTAACGGCTGAGGCCGGAGTTTTATAATCGAGCCAGTGCTCTCTATTCCAAATCCAAATTAAAACTAAACTTAAGAACTAACAAAAGCTCATTCATAGCCGGCTGCCCGCGGCAGACGCTGACCTTCACATTTTGCAGAAGTCATACCATCGCTGTCAGCCAACGAAACGGAGCCACGGCTCGGAACGGTACAATGTGCTGGCTCAGCTTGGGGCCCACAAGGTGGACCCAATTTAGGGTGGACCATGCATGAGAGGAAAGTGTAATAATAATAATAATATAATATTAATAAGGGGAATAAGAATTGGCCTGCTCAGCCTAAGCTGGGAGTTGGTTGTTAACTTATATATTATTGAGATGCCAGCGCATTCTTAGTAAATGCTGAGATCTCTTGAACTCGGAATGGTCGACTCTTTCAGTTTTTGTGATTTTATTATAATATTGGTTGACACATATCTTTGTTTGGCGTTTTCAGCAGTCAATAGATGTATTATAATCGCCTACCATTTTACAGAAACTAATAATAGTTTTATAAATGTTTGTTTTTTGTGTTTACATCAAAACGAAAAAATCCAAACTGTATAGGGTCGGAAACGCTTCCTTTCAACTGTTACATATTTTTCAAATAACGCCCTTTTAGTCTTATATTAAGACTATATTTGTTATTTTTATATAATATTCTTGGATATCAATCGTCTTCAAATAAATCTACACAGATTTATGTGAAACGCGGAAATCACTAAATGGTCTTTACTCTAAGGCGGACAATGCAAAACAAATGTTTTAAAAGCAATTATATTACCTGACCGATTTGCTCCATTAATTTGTATTGGTTTAATTGAAGAAAGCTTCCAGATTTTTCGATTGATATTCTTCTAGATTCCCGAAATGTAGGTCGTTGGCGACTGGATCGAGGACTATCAAAAGGACTACTATACGGGCTATACGGAACATTTGGATAGATCGGACGGCTTTCAGTTGATTGAAGTTTTGATGCAATATTATCTGGAAGTGGGGCACAATAAAGTTTGATAGATTCAGTTTCGTTTTCCGAACTTATGCCATGATCCTTTTCTCTAGATAAGTTTGAAACAGATTCTACTGCGTACTTTTGAATATCATTGGAAAAGTGTTCTTGTTTGTTTGCCAGTAAGCGAGAGCTTTGCTCGAGGGACTGTTTTTCCAAGGTATTTTTAAGCAAAGGATCGACAACATGGCTTGTATTGACTATAGACGTATTGGAACAGTTTTCTGGCTTCAACACGGACTGAGAAACATTTTGGCAATTATTAAAACATTTCAATGCTTCTGTTTGGGTTGTTAAGTTAACGGCTGTTTTGTTTATTATGTGCTTAGGCATCTGTACTCCAAAATCTGGAATTGTAGGCCCATTTAACTCAAAATGATTAATATTATTGCTTTCGGCTTTGACTTCCTCACGTATTTCGTGATCACAACATCTTTTTTTTTGTCCAGTTAAAAGTTCGTAAGCTGAATCTTCGTTGTTAAACTTAGTGGAAAATGTATCATTTTCGATTTTATGGCATATGTGTTGAGAATTCACTCCTTGCCGTTTGGTTTGGTGGTTTATATTATCTCGTTTTGATGTTATGAATGGTAATAAGGGATCCATTTTTTAATTTTATGTCATTTCACAATTCAATACATATTCATATGAGTACTCATATGGATCATTATCAAAATCATTACAATTTTGTAATGAGCGTTTTAAGTTACGGATCAGCCTGTAAACATAAAACAGTGCTTATTAATTTTTTTGTTTCAAGTGTAAATTATCTGTATTTCGGTTTAAAAAGTATGATAGATTAGTTTAGTTAGTAAGTTAGTTAGTTTTTCTTTTTAACAAAGCGTAGCAAGTAAAAATAATATGTTTCGCTAAACATTATTGATTACAATTATAAATTCAATAAAATATAACACGAAAGAAACCAATAGTCAAGTGCAGAATTATATGTTTTGATAGGTATTATATAATAATAATAATAATTATATAAAGGGTGTTTTTTAAGAAATATAGAACTTTAAGTTAGCATTACTCTTCAAGATGGCGACTTATTTTCACGCCAGAACACCGCTTTCATATAGTGCAATTTTATTTCAAAAATAATGGTTCTGTGCGGAATACGTATCGCGCACTACGTCTATTTTACTTTCGACAAAATCAACCATCATCGTGCATCATGGAACGTTTTCGCATTGGCCTCCAAGAACTTATGATTTAACACCGCTAGACTACTTTCTGTGGGGCAATGTAAAGTCATTGACCATTTGGAAGACAACATAGTCCGTGTTATTTCATCGAAAATTGGGCGTCCAGATTGGACTACATGCAAGCCAGCCGTGGCGGTCATATCCCAATAATCATATTTGTAATGTAATGCCACAAGATTATCTTCCAAATAAAAAAAATTCAGGTCAATCCATCGTTGTTTTAGTTCTATACCTCTAAAAAAACACCCATTAATAGAAGAAACATGGCTTATTAACGTTACTTTGGACTTGTCCGCCTTGCAGGTGTAAGAGTGGTCTTGGCTATTAAAAATACTGAGACCTATACTAAAAATATAGTTTTGCTTTTAACCATTAAGTAAAGTTCTAATAAATCGTAAGTATAATGTGCATAATTGTTTCCCCTTGTATTCAATTAGCAAAGGGTCATTGTAAGAGAGACAATGCAAAACACAAAAGAAAAATTCACAAAAATTCAATTCAATTCATATATAATATGTGCAAATAGCATCCCGCGTTAGATGCAACTTGCGCGTTCTCTCGCTTGCCGAAGACGACTGACTTTTTCCCTCTTCCCGCTTTCGTTCTCCCACGCATCGTCCCAAAAAGCGAGAGCGATCAGCTGTTGCTCTCCGCTCCCCGCTCCCAGCTTCCAGCACACTGGGACAAGCAGCAAACTTAACATGCCGCCCGCCAATGCTAGACCTAGCATGAGAAACCTTCGCTTGTCCGGTCCATCCTGGTTGTGGGGTAGAATCTAGTATGGGAAAGTAAACAAGAAGTGTGCGCAAGAGACGAGTTAATTATTATTGAGGTGTGTATGTGAGGGCGCTTATGATCGGATTGGCAGTGGACAGAGCTTCGACACCGAAAGCTTCAACCGGCCTTGCTTGGTTTGAAGCGTGACAACTCGAACCAACGCATCCGTCCCCTGGTGTAGCTCGACGACGCGCCCCAGTCGCCGTTGCGACGGCGGAAAACGGTCGTCCTTGATGATGACGAGGTCGCCCAGCTGGAGCAGCACCACTTGGGTCTCTGCTTTAGATGTGCTAGCCAGTCCCGACTCCAAGCCTTCCAGAAATGACGTACCATAGCCTGCTGGATCAGGAACTGCTCCGCGAAGGACCAAGATTGTGGGCGCAACTCAGGAGGAGCATGCAGCGAGTCACCAATCAAGAAATGAGCCGGCGTGAGCACCTCTAGGTCGTCTGCGTCCGCTGTGAGAGGAAAGCAGCCGCGAGTTAAGACATGCTTCTATGCTTATAAGCACCGTAGTCAACTCCTCATAGGTGAGCCGTCGATCCGCAATGACCCTCTTCAGGTGATGTTTCACCGACTTCACGTTAGCCTCCCACAGCCCGCCGAAATTGGGCGACCCTCTTCAGGTGATGTTTCACCGACTTCACGTTAGCCTCCCACAGCCCGCCGAAATTGGGCGACTGCGGAGGATTGAAGTGCCACGTTATCCGTTGTGACGCGAGCTTGGGGGCTATAAGCTGATCTTAATCTTCTTGAAGCTTACAGAAGAACTTCCTCATTACGTTGTCCGCACCCACAAAGTTGTTTCCATTGTCACTGTAGATGTGCTGAACCATCCCTATCCTCCCGGTGAACCTGTCCAGCGCCAGCAGAAAATGCTCCGTGGTGAGGCCTGTCACCGCTTCCAAATGCACTGCCTTTGTTGCAAGGCAAATGAAAACGGCGATGTACCCCTTGTAGAAGCTGGTGCCTCGCAACCGTAAGGCCTTGAGCTCAATAGAGCCTGTGTAGTTGCAATGAATGGACGACTAGGGGGGTTCACTCGATGAAGCGGCAAGTCTCCCATGAGCTGAGCCGAAGCGGAGGGCTGCGCCCGGAAACACTGGACACATTTCCGCACAACTCTTCGAACTGCCTGCCTTCCTCTCACTATCCAGAACCGCTGGCGGGTGTGCGCTAACGTCAGCTGCGCACCTCCGTGCAGAGTCAAAACATGCGAGTGCCGAATTACCAGCTCAGTGAAATGATGGAAACTTGGGAGTATTATCGGATGCCGGCGCTCACATGGCAAGCTAGAATGCCGTATTCGCCCCCTCACTCGCAGGATGCCTTCTGACAAGATCGGCGACAAGCTCAAGAGCTTACTTCGCGCAGGTAGCCGTTTACTCTCTCTTACTGCAGCCAAATCCATTGGGAACGATTCCCGCTGCACGATGGGCACTATAGCCCTTAATGCAAAGTCAAGCTCTTAAATGGCTAGGGGACTCTCCCCCTTGCCGACAGCATTGTGCCTGAACCGCAACGCATAGGCCGTGACTCGTACAGCCCGGCTAAAATTAGAATATCTGCCAAAGAACGACGGAAGCGGGACTGCGTGGTGAACTCGTACTTTGGCCGCCTTTGCCTCTAGTGCGGCATCGTTGGTGTCGACCTGCTCGAACTCCATAGAAGGCCAGTCACTCGGACTGCGTGTAAGCCACTCAGGGCCTCGTCACCATAGGCCAAAGACCTTCAATTCACCCGGAGACAGTCCTCTTGTCGCACAGTCCGCTGGATTCTCAGCCGTGCCCACATGCCTCTATTGCGAGGGCGAAGAAAGATCCAGAATAAACGCGACCCTGATGGCCACGAACGTCTTCCACCTAGTGATGTCCCCGTACAGCCAGTATAAATGGATTGTGGCATCCGTCCAGTAGAACGATTCGGTGGGTAGGTCGCTTAGTCATTTAGCCGAAGTAAGCCATATAACCAACTTGACGGCCAAAACTGCGCCACTCAGCTCCGTTCTAGGTATAGTCAAGGGCCTTGTGGGAGTCACCCTTGACTTCGAGGCCAACAGTGAGCTTTAGCATGCTCCGTCCTCGCACTCGAGCCTTAGGTAGACCGAGGCCGCATAAGATGTCGATGAACCGTCGCAGAACGCGTGAAGCTGAGCTGACACTATACATCCAGGGGAATAATGAATCAATCTGTCTATGCTTATGTCGTCGATCCTCGTCGGGTTGACGAGAAACGTTCGCCACCGTTCTACGAGGGCGTCCGGAACCTCGTCGTCCCACTCCAGCGCCGACTGAGTGCCATCCGCATGCACTTTCTTTGCCATGGTTACCTCCTTTAAAATCAGCTTTCCCACGATGATCAAACAGCCTAGCTATGCTCGATAGAATCATCCGTTTGGTAAACCTAGCTGGAATCTCAAAATTGACTTGAAATTTAAAACAGTCCTTATTCGGGATCCAATACATCCTTAATGCCTTGATAGGTTCCGTAGTGTCCCAGTTTAAAGGAGTCCGGCTGCACTGATGCTCCGCAGGAATCGAGATCAAGAGACTGGACTCGTTCCAGGACCATTTTTGCAACTCCATGCACGCGGATTTTATCGCCTCCGATACTTGTGTCCGCTTATCCTTTGCTTCCTCCAACGTGTGACCTCCGGAAAGAATATCATCCACATATATTTCGCTCATCAACACCTCTTCCGCCTTGGGAAACGAACGGCGCTCGTCCTTCGCCAACTGCTGGATGACCCTGATGGCCGTGACGCCGTACCAAAGATTAACGTTGACAACGCGAAAACGGTGATGGTCCCATCCGCCGCCCGCCATAAAATCCGCTGGTATTCGGCGTCTTCCGGATGGACATCTATACAACGATACATCTTCTGGATATCCGCTGCAAAAACGAAACGATACTTCCGCCAATTCAGTATGACGTGCGACATGTCGATCTGAAGGGCTGGCCCAGTCCACAACACGTCGTTTAAAGATCTTCATTTGCTGGTCCTTGCGGAGGCGTCAAACACGATTCTTTGTTTAAGTGAGTGCTGCTCCTTTTTAAAGACCGATTGATGCGGCAGCACGCAGGAAGGCACATGCCTATCCGTAGAACTACGCATCAGCGAACTGCCCACCGCCGGCGCTCTTTGCTTGAGGGCAAAGAAAGTACTCCTCGATCTCTTCGAAATTTTGCTGCACCGCTCCGGACTGCTCGACAGACGCCGTTCCAACTGAAAGAACTTATTCAGCGTCATCTGATGCGATCTTCCCAGAACCATAGTTGGATCCGTGTAAGTTTTGAAGGGCAACCGTACCACGTACCGGCCATCCGATCGCCGAATATGTGTCTTCTGAAAGAAGGCTTCGCACCAGAGGTCCCCCTCCGATGTGAGAGAACGGTCCGGAACGGCCTCCACCTCGCAGAAATGCTTGAGCAAAGCCTCGGTGTCCAAGAGCACCCGATGACACCGAACCTGGGTCGCTTCCCGCACTCCGTCCGGCAAACCAGATATTATCCACCCAAGGTGAGTGTTCTGAGCTATAGGCTCGCCGGGCAGCCCGATCCCGGTGTCCGGCAACATGATTTGCGCCAACAGGTCCACACCCAAGGTGAGGTCGACTCGCTTCGATCATGAGAAGTCCGGATCCGCCAGCGGGAGCCCTCGTATATGGTCCCAACGCTGAAGCATGAAGCTGCGACACGGAAGACAGGAAGTAACCGAATTGAGGACATACGCGGA